AGTTTGACTAACTAAGGAAAATTGGTCAAAAATTAATTATCGAAAATATTTCTGAGCCTCAAAAGGTATACTTATAAGGATAATTAAATTCTAAGAAAATTCACAAGGTATCCATGGGAATTATAAGAGAATATGAAGTAAAAAAGAAACCCTTTAAATGTTCAAAAATTCTACAAATGTCTTCCTGCATAAGGAAATCCCTATAAAAATTAAACTAGTTTTCTTTCTTTACCATTGATAGAAAATTGTGATGGTAACAAAGGAGGACATTTTGGGAAGAGAAAAATGAGAAGAATGTATTATGAATCTGACAAAAAATAATTACAGTGACTAGGATACTGTAATTGTAAAATAGAAATTATTATCAGTGAAAAGTGTACCGTCAAAGCTTAAAGTATACTCTTGTCTTTACGTGGCCCACATTTTGCCACTTGTCTAGCTATGAATAGAAAGAATTAAGATGCCACTTGTCAAGTCAAGTATGAAAAGGATTTTGACTTTGGAAAATCAATTTCATTTGGATTTAAATTAAGGGTGGAAATTAAGTAAGAAGGCATAGGGAATTGACATATAAGCTTGGTAATTAATGTGATCTTGGATGGCAAACAATTAAGGCTTGGTTTATAAATAGCCATCTCCCTCCCTCATAAGCTCACATTTTCAGCCAACTAGGGGAAACTCTTGCCAATTATTTTCTTGAAGTGCAATCAAGGAGAAACCATCTACTTTGGTCACCTAAGCTTGGATACAAGATTAGTTTTATGTTCTATCTTGTATTATGCTTTGTATTCTTAGATTTGGTGGTTGAAAAATGTGGATTCCCCTAAGGGAAGGTGCTGACCGAAATATATTAAAATAGGAGAGGATGATTTTTATGTTAAACCTACTTTAAAGACATTGGTTATAGCTTGTTTCAAGTGGTATTGTGTTGAAATTTAAAAGATTACATGAAATGGGTATTGTGGGTGCTGTTCGGTCAAGTCTGAATCTTTACCCTAGGATGTGACTTTGTGAGTTTTGATGCTTCCATTGGGTTTAAAATGGAAAATAGTGTAGGCTAAACCTAAAGAACAAGTTTTGGAAGCATTAGAATTAAAGTTAGAAATTTAGGACTTTTGTACTATACCATTCGACCAACACTATTTGGAAAGGAAGGAATTTTTTTTCATGAATCCAAGTTCATATTTGGATTCTACATAAAAAAAATTATATAGGATTGACCTAAGAGGATAATTTTTAAATTAAAGGAAACAAAGCTCTAAAATTCAAAGAATTAAGAATTAAGGTCTACTTAAGAATTTGTCATTCTTGTGTAGTTTGAGTTTTGATATGGTTTCCCCTTTATAATGTGATGTTAGGATTTGATATTTGTTGAAGAAAAAAGAAAGAACAAAGACCAAAAGAGCACTTGGATCAAGGTAGCAAGATTTAATTAACTTTAATGTTGATATTGCATTGATTGTTGATGCATGGATGATTATTATTATATGGTTGAGCTATGATGAATGTTTACGTGGCTACTCCTTGCATTGAAATGCCTTGGCTATTGCATGTTAGAGATTGCCTAAGTATGAGGAAGGATTAGCTCCCTAATGATAGCAAATGTTGAAATGCTTGATGACAGTGCATGTTTGATATTATTGTTGATTTTATCTTGCTATTCGGATTTCAATAAAATCTCATTCCTTCCAAATGCAATTATTTTTCCTAGGGGCTGAACCATCTAGGAAGAAGAAGAAAATGTTCAAAGAATGATGTATATTTATGAAACTCCCTTGACTTTTTACAACGTAAATAAATGTATGCATTGATGTTGTAACCCTTTAAGCTGTTATTTTAGAGCTCTAATTTGACTAAGCTTCTGTCTGTATTAAATTCTGAAATTAGGCATCATTATAGTTCACATCTTAAGCTTCAAAGCAATAGGTAGAATGTTCAATTTGGATATATGTATGAATTACGGTGATTTTTCAACATTAGGGTTTGAAATCTGGAAAAAGTTTTTGACCAATGGAATAGTTGTAACTTCTGTACAAATCTGACACTATTTCACACCAAATTGTTAGATATAATGATTAGTTTTGATGATGTCAAATAATAGAGTAAAAAGTTTGCATAAATTATTTGTCTCATACTTTGACTAACTACCGTACTTAATATATTGTGTAGTTTCTTCACGAAAAGAAAGGGGTTATTGTGTTAAACTTTGAGTTATAGAAAATGATCAAAAGGAAGAAGAAGAAGAGAGGTTGAGAAAAGAAGAACTTGCAAGATCAAATGGAAATATCAAGATTCAAATTTATAAATTTGATATTGAAAGTTGCTATGCTTAATTAGAAGTTTGAATGGCTCAATCCGAAGCTAAAATGCACAAACCAAAAGTTATATCATCATATATTGAGTCACCCTTCATATAAACATTGAAAATAAGGTTTAGAGGTGATTTTCAAGTGCATTTATTGATCAATAAATCGATCAGCCACTTATCGATCAATTTATCGACAAAACACATACTCTGTTATGCTCTGTTCTTCATTTAGCTCTGATATAGGTTCGGTATTTCTCTAATATCTCTTAAACCACAAATCCTTTTGAGGTGAAAGTTAATTTATATGAAACTAGACTCATAACACGGTTCATGGACACCAAAATGAACTTCAAAGAGTTTCATATGAGGGAGATATGCTATTCGAAACATTGCAGTTGGGTTTAACATCTTTATTCTAACCTTCAGTCATTTTAATGAAGATAACTATGTAACCACAATGAATTTTGGGGTGGTTCTTGTTGCATTAGAAAGTAGACTCAAAGAGCTTTCTGGAGATAGGTCATTTGTAAAATTTGGAGTTGAATTCGAAGATTTATAATACTCAAAGTTGACCTTCATTTTGCTTGAATCAGAATTCGAATTTATTGAGGCAAAGACCAGAAGTTCTATATTGATTGATTAAGCTCTCGAGCAACATGCTACTCAAACATATTATTGAATAAAAGCACTAGAAGAAATGAGAAAATGAAAAGCCATTATCAGATGTTACTCGAGCCTGATCAAACAACTACATACTCGATCGCTTTATCGAGTTCCTAGTACTATCTCTTCAATTCTTCTCTTTTATCTTCATATGCATTATTGAGGTTTTATCAATAACCTGTTGGATAAATGGTTTTCGGATAATATTATGGATAAATGTATTTATCGATCACTTGATCGATAAACAAGATTAGCGTTATGGATAAATGAATTATCAATGAGAAGACAGATAAATGGTAAAGTTTCCTACTCACGTTATATTCTGTTCTATTCACCATTTATCAATCACTTTATCAAACAATTGTTAATCGATAACAGTCCTTGCTTGCTTACTGTTTTATCGATAATAGATTCTATTTAAAGTTTCCTGACAGATTCTTTAATCGATCAATTGATTGATCAATGGTTTATCGATCAAATGATCGATCATCAACATCTCACTGCACTTGCTTGTTTTAAGTCTTTTTTTGATCACCTGATCGATCATTGATTTATCGATAAAATGATCAATCATCTAATCTTCTGAAACTTCTGTTTTCACATAACATGATCGATCAAAATTTTTAATTTTAATGAACACCCAATTCACCCCCTTAGGTGATCAACCATTCTTACACAAATTGGTTCCTAAGATTATTTTTCTTGAAAGATAATTCAAAGAGCTTTCTATAGAACTTAGGACCACTCCGTTTTGATTTTTATAGAATTAATTACAAATTTTCAAAGTTGCATAGAAATTCTGAAATTACCAAATAAATAGTAAATCCATAAGTAACGTCCCAAATCTGTTTTTCTTAAGGTTAAAGCCATTCAGAGTGGTCTAAATTGACTTGAAATGGACTCTAAAGTAGTGTAGAAGTAAAGTGTAACACTTATTGCAAGAATGCAGCTTATAACTGGAGAAGGAAGAAGGACTTGATTCATGAGCAAAAATTCATCTGTACGCCTTAAATTTTTGTTTCATAAGATCCATTCCCTCTTTCACTTGATGTGAAGACAAACTACAATTGCGATCAATATAGCCTACCCTTCCACAGTGCCGGCAAATCCTACGAGCTCTTTCAAGCTGACTTTCAATCCAAATAAACCTGCCATCATCTAGCTGAATAGGTATTGCTGAAGGAATCGGAAGAGAGAGGTCAATATTAATCTTGATTCTGAAGAAAGAAATGTTCATGACATCTCCCAAAAGTTCATCAAATTTCAAAAAGTCTCCGAACAGATTACCTAAAACTTGTGCAGTTTCTAGATTAAAATACACTAAGGGTAATCCCCATATTTGAATCCATAACAAATTAGACTTCCAATTAAAGGTGTAAAATAACAAATTATCCAGCACCCATGGACCGTTATGTAGAATAAAGATTTGATCTTCCTTTTTATCAAAAATGGATGAGATAAGGATTATCCTTCTTGCCACCTGCAGTAGTAACCTTACCGTTAAAGTGCCAAAATGCCTCTATCAATTCTTGAATGCTCTGAGAAGATATGCTTTTGACATCTAAAAGAACTCTCCAAATACAATTTTGTAAAAAAGATCTCTTTTCAAGAGAGGATGGAAATTGAGAACTAAAATTACAACACATGGAAAATACCAAATGAGAACACCAGCCAGAACCAGCGACCGAAGCAACAAAACCACTGTCAACTAGAAGGAAACACAAGAGAAAATTATTCAAAATCCACAAAACTGAATAAAAAAATCACAGACTAACAACCATGGAGAATATAATAGTAGAGATCGAATTAGAGGATATTTGGATAAATTCTTCTATGTATTTATTTTTTACATTATAAAAATATTTTTAAAATTATAGTTTGATTCAATTCAATCCTTTTTTAGAGCTTCAGCTTCCTCCTTCGCGCAAGACAAAATATAAAGGTCACCAGGTCCCAAAATAAAAGCACGACGCCAAAACCGAAGAAACAAGACGGCAGAACCTGAGGGATAAAATGGTATCACCAGAAAGTGAACGAAACAATCAACCAGCCAAATAGTCAGATAATTTCATATCAAGGGAGGGGCGTGAGAAAATAATAGAGAGAAAGCCAAGCCTAAAAATCGAAACAAATTTCACCAGGTGCGCTTCAGCAAGTTCCTGAAATTTCGGTCAACAGCAACGAAGGAGTGAAGAACTGAACCCGAACCCAACCCTGGCATGAATCGCTCCCAGAAATTGCGGTCAATATCACCGGTGGAGACAACTTAAAAGACTGCAAGATTGCCCAGGCAAATTGTAACCCATATAAAGAACTATTTTCGCAAGATTGCCAAGCCTGGGAAGAGCCACTTCAACCCAAATTTGGAGTATTTCATTCGAACATCAAGAGAAGAACGAAATTTAAGTGAATAATTTCTGGACAGCGAAGATCAGGAGGGCCGTGCAATAACCCTAGCAAGGCTCGACTATGCGAGAGCTCCTCACGCCGATTCCGTCTGTAATCGAGTTCAAGGTCGGAGCAAGATTTGCTTGAAGAGAAAAGAAGAGGTAAGAAGTCTATATATTTTTATGCTTGTCCTTGCTGATAAAATCAGTTTCACCGCTATGTAAATCAGTTGCTGGTCATTGCTTTATGGTGCCGCGTGAGGGAATGTGAGTTCATAATCCATACGTTTATTTTGAATTCATTCTTTCATTGTGCAGGAGCCATGATCATATTAAGGACTTTGGCTAGGGTTGGTCTCGAAGTAATTTGTTTATCATTAGGCTAGCAGAGACCAAAGTGGAGCTTCAGCCCAATATTAAACTGCAGAGAAGAAGTGCGATACTTGCTAGTTGTGAGGTTGTACGAGTTTCCGGGCATGTCATGGCATTTCGGTCTCTGCGATTTCCAGGTATTTTTGCGCGTTCCCGCAAAGCCGGGTATCCATTTCTTTATAAGCTTGGTTCCTTTCCTTCTTTGCCTTTCTCGTCAGCACACCCTCCTCCTTTGTGTCATCCAGACCAGGAATTGTTGCTTAATGAAACAAATAATCATTCCATTCTTGAGGAAAGTTTGATTCTCGAAAAGCTTGCCGATCTCTTGCCAATTTCTCGGAACAATGTGAATTTGACCCTTTTGGATCACCTTAAATCAGAGGAAACTGAGTTGAATGCTTTTAAGTCAGAAAAAGAAATAAAATCCGTTGATGGTTTTTTGTTGCCCGAAGAGAAATTGCGAGGGGTTTTTCTTCAGAAGTTAAAGGGTCAAACTGCAATTGAGCGTGCTTTCTTGAATACTGGTGTTGATATGAACGTTGAAGTTCTCGGCAGGGTGGTGAACTCTGGGAATCTGGGTGGTGAGGCAATGGTTACTTTTTTCAATTGGGCAGTAAAACAGCCTACGGTGCCCAAGGACATTGATAGCTACCGGATTGTTATTAAAGCATTGGGTAGAAGGAAATTTTTAAAATTTATGATGGAATTGCTGTATAACATGAAGATGGAAGGCATGAGACCTGATTTACCAATGCTATCCATTGTATTTGATAGCTTTGTCAGGGCTGGTCATGTTTCTAGAGCAATTCAAATATTTGGAAACGGGGAGGATGTTGGGATAGAATCTGATATGGAGGCTTTAAATGTGCTTTTGCAGTGTCTTTGTAGGCGATCTCATGTTGGTGCCGCAAATTCTATTTTCAATTCAATGAAAGGGAAAATACCTTTCAATATTGCAACATACAATGTTATCATTGGTGGCTGGTCTAAATTTGGTGAAGTAAATCAGATTGAGAGAGTTTTGAAAGAAATGGTAGCTGATGGGTTTACTCCTGATTGTGCAACTTTCAGTTACCTTCTTGAGGGTTTGGGAAGAGCTGGTCGAATGGATGATTCTGTTAAGATTTTCCATGAAATGGAAAAGATAAATTGCCAACCAAACACAAACACTTATAATTCAATGATCTCCAACTTTCTGTCAATCCGAGATTTTGATGAGTGCATGAAGTATTATAAAATGCTGCTGAATGATAGCTGTAAACCCAATGCCGATACATATTACAGACTAATTACTGCTTTTCTTAAAGCACGGAAAGTGGCCGACGCCCTTCTGATGTTTGATGAGATGTTAAGTCAAGGGGTTATTCCTTCTAGTGGGACTATAACCTCTTTCATGAAATATTTATGTAGCTATGGCCCACCTTACGCAGCTTTGATGATTTACAGGAAGGCAAGAAAAGTGGGTTGTGTGATATCGATAAATGCTTATAAGCTACTTCTCATGCGTCTTTCTAAGTTCGGTAAATGTGGAATGATGTTAAATATATGGGACGAAATGCAAAAATGCGGGCATTCTTCAGGTGTGGAGGTTTATGAGTACCTGGTAAGTGGTCTTTGCAATATAGGACAGCTTGAAAATGCTGTTCTTGTTACGGAAGAGTGTATAAGCAAAGGATTCTGTCCAAGCAGGCTTGTATATAGCAAATTAAGTAATAAACTGCTTGCTTTAAATAAGGTTGATACAGCTTACAAGCTTTTTATAAAGATCAAGCGTGCTCGCGCCAAAGAAAATGCAAGAAGATATTGGCGTGCAAATGGTTGGCATTTCTGAAATGGTATGTTAATTGGCTTCATGGATACTGTTGTCTCTATAATAAAATTTCTTCTCTCATGCCAAAAGAAAAAAGAATCATGGTTACTTCAGAATGTATAATTATTTAAACAACATACAAATCTTGTTTCAGGCATGATACTTGGAGTTGGATGATGTATTATCCTTTATTGCATGATAAGTTCTTGCTTAGTTTGCTCTCACTATGTACTAATCATGAGGAATGCTACTTCTTTTTCATGCCTTCATAAACCTGATCAACTCATTTGGGCGCCAAATCAGGCTGGCAAATGTACGGTAAGGAAAGCTTATGCTTTAAGTACTAATCATGAGGAATGAGTGGATCTTCCACATATTTGGGAATCTCTGTGGAAACTGAAATTGCGATATCGCATGATATTATTTGTTTGGAAGATGTGAAATGATGCTCTTCCGATTGGTAGTATTCTCTCTGCACGTCATGTTCCAGGAAATTTTGTGTCTTTCACGTGGGAATGAAGAGAAATCTATGCATCATGTGTGTCTTCCGACTCTGCACGTGCACTGTGGTTTGCCTCACCTCTATCAAATGTGATGAGATGAAGTTGATAGCGGTTAAAGCTTGGTTCAAGAGATGGTTTGCCAGTTTAAACGCAAAGAATACATCTGATATGCAAGCAGCCAAAGGGTTGGCTATCATCGTTAATCTCATATGGGAACATAGAATCGGCGTTGTTCATCCTAGTAAGGCTTTTAGATCATGACAGTGCGCTGCATCTATTTAGATGCGACAATCTGATGGAAAGAACATTACCATGATAAACGAAGAAATTTCAGGATTCTACTAGGAAACCATGGTTCGCCATCATTTACCTTCCTCAATTCAATATGGCAAGACTGCAATGGATATTGGCTTGGAGGACTCAAGTCTTGCGCAGGAAGACAGGCAAGTTCATTAAATTACATGTGGCAGTTTCTTTTGCAGAATCTGTTCCGTTCCGAATGCACAAAGAGCAAGTCTCTTACGCGTCAAAGGACCCTGTTCAACTATTTTTTCTCCGGAAAATCTTATTTGTCATGAGGGCCTCCGGGTTCTTCGTGTAGAACGCAAATCAACTCATTTTGCCTGTCTCGTCTAAGCATGACATCAAGTTCTTCGGATCCCTTCATCGAGGCTTATACGCATGATGATGTTAAACACCTATTAGACTTTTCTACTGGCAATATGTTATGTAAGAATAGCTGTCTTTGAAATAGGCTAGTATCTTCTAGTACGCCATGTTTTACATTTCAGTTGTAGTTGGAAATTGTTGATCTGTTAATTGAAAAAAAAGTGTCAGTTTCTTCTTTTAACTGCTACCCTTTTCCTGTCAAAATAAATAGGAAACTGCTGCCTAATCCTCAATGTGAGCGTTGGGGTCAAATTAATCCAAGTTTCCAATTAGGTCAATATACCCCCCCGGGTCCCCCCCCCCCGGGGGGGTGTTTTAATGCCATCCTCATTGCTTGCCCTGTCTAAGTCCTTCTGTTATAATGCTGGTAATTTATGGGTGACATGGGACTGAACATCTAGCTTCTCTCCTCCTCCTCCGCTCAGTCTCAAGGTCAGCAAAGCAATTACAAAATACACTGCCATCCCTCTCATGGTCAATGTACTCTCTCTTTTTCCATCATCATCGTTTTTATCTCCTCCATGAGCTTAAAGATTCATCATGTCCTTCTCCTAGTTGTGAAAGTATCCTTCTCCATTTTTGTTTTTGTTAGTGGTATAATTTTACCCATGATATCTTTTTATGTAATTTTACCTATGATTTTTTTGATGCAATTTTACATCACTTATTTTTTAGATGCACCAAAAGAAAAACTTCATGGGTAAAATTGGATTAAAAAAGTATTCTGGGTAAAATTGCACCACTAAAAACATCAGAATATTAGGTATATCTAAAAAATAAGATTAAGAGTAAAATTAAACATTTGTTCATAAAAAATCTTAAATCAATAAATATAAAAAAATAAAAATACACTAATTAACCCTGACACATGACTTCTACACATCTTTGTTATTTATGAGCTGTTTTCAGTCACTGGACTTCCCACTTGTTCACCCGACCATTTGAAACTTGGATGCCGCAAGTGTTGCTCATTGTCATATAATGTCATGCATGATGCCACGTGCGATAGGATTTCAAACTTCGTCGTTTTAGTGGTCCTCTGGAGGGATTGAGGGAAAACTACGAATGGTGTAGCTCTAGAAAAATTCTTTTTGTATGTGAAGAGTGCTCTGCTTTTTAGAGTAAAAAGACTGTTGAATGTTTTAAAAGTTCATGAGTAGTACTCAATTAAAACTAGTATCCTTTTATCATTAATATAAGATCTATTTAATTAATTTGATTATATTAATAAAGTCAAGTAAGTTAGTTAATTATAAAAAATATTTTTTTTTTCTAAAACATTATAATCATCTTCCTTAATATCATCCATCTCTCTCCTACTTGATTATGGTTAAAGGAGTATGAATAAGGGTAATTTAGAAAAAATTGATAAACATAAAAAATAGATTTTACATTTAGGACCAACATTAACTCAACAATTAAATTCTATATTAAGGATCAAAGGAGTAGAATTGGAAGAAATTATCAAGTAAAAGGTTGGACTTTTTTTAAACCAAAACAGGAGCTCATTTTATTAACACCACAAAAAGAAAACAAATTGCACCAAGCCAAAAAATAAAATAACAACACTTAAAACCTATTCATACAACCTAAAAACACTACTTAAAGGAAAACAAAATACAGTCACTAATTCTAAAGAAAAACAAAACCCTGTAACAAAACAACACAAAAATGAACATTCAACAGCTAATACAAATCTAACAAATACCACTTCTATCAGCTTCCTTGAGACAAATAGCAGTGTCTTCCACTGCACAACCTCTTCTACCTCGAGCATCTCGATCTAGAATTTGAGTCAGAGTAATGGTTTTTCCACCCATCCAATAGGATACACTACCTTACTGCAAGCCATAGTCAAGCAATCAGCTATCATGTTACCCTTTCTTGACACAAAAGTAAGCTCCAGCTCCTTCGTGTTAATATCAGAAATAACATCGGTCAGTTCCCAGCTATCTTTTGAATAAGCGTTTTCCACAAACTTCATACGAACCCAATAAATTTTTGCACAATCCTTAACATCCCAAAATCTGATCTCTTAGTCTAGCGAAAGAGCTCAGAAAGGGCAAGCGTGTTTGTATCATCCACTACGATAAAAATGATATCTCCATAATTCCTACCGTGTTGCAATGAACAACAAAATAGCTAGTTTTCTCTATGTCATAGTGGGTGACAAAGACTTGTACACATTTCTCCTTCCTCTTCATCGCATGATGGAGGAAGAAATCAGGACTTCCGACAAGAATTATCATAAAGAGAGATTATTCCGCTTAATAAAAGACGGGACTTGATTTCACAAATTTGTACTCAAGAATCAAATGAAAATTTCAAAACCAGCATACTACATACTGTCACTCGTGGATTTGTCTTCATGGTCATTCTTTGTAGCATTTTATATGGGAAACAAAAAAAAAAAAACAGCATGCTAGAAATCTGAGAGCTTCTTTGAACTGGATCATCATTCATGAATTGCAATGTTTTAGAGCGAACAGCAAGTCCTCTAACATAATTCTCCCAGACATCAATGCTCCATTAAAGTTCTTCACCCTCTCATCGGTCAGTTTGTCTCCTTCACTAACTCTAAACTTTTTATAATGCTTGTCCTACCTTCAATTATTCATTGCAATATTTTGTATACTGGGAGATTTGTATCCTTTTAATTTATTTTAAATATAATTGTCTTTTTTCGAAATAAAAAAAATTAAAACCGGAAAAAAGTATTGATTTAAATTTATTACCATAATATTGAAATTCATTAGTTGATTGTAACCCCAAAACAAATTTAACACGTACATCATTTCATGTTTAACCTTGTTGGGATGGACTAAATATTGGGATACGCGGATGCCAATTGAGATTGCCTAAGTTTGGTTCGATTCAAATTGAAACAAACCAGAAATCAAACAAAATTGACTTTGACATCAAAGTAACTAAAACAAACTCATTTGTTATCTATTTCGTTTAACTTGTTTTAGGGAGTGTTTAGTATTAGACAAAAGTTGTCAAAGTAACTAAAACAAACTCATTTGTTTCTATTTCGTTTAACTTGTTTTAGGGAGTGTTTAGTATTAGACAAAAGTACTTTTTCACAAATCAAAACAAAGTCCTTCACATATTTTCTTTGTATATTGTAAAATTATTTTTAAAATCATAATTTGATTTCATCCAAATACCCTCTTGATTCATTTTCGTTTGATTCATTTCAAATGATTTTGCTCAGTTTTAAACACCTTTTATATGATGCTCTGCCCCCGGCCATCAGTCAAAGACATGCCCAATTCATAAAGAAATATCAGTAATATCGTCGTATTCTGTTATAGTCCACTACATTTGGTCTCTGTTTCTTCTCTTTTTTCTACAAATATTTTATTATTTCTAAGGCAATAAAAAATACACCATATACATATACATAAATAATTCCGGGGAATTAATGCAAAATTTTTGCATCAATTGAATGATCTAAGAGTGCCAGTCGAAGAAGAGTACATGAGAAATTGGCTGAAGCGAACGCGGGCGCACGTCAATAAATCGTCGTAATGCACAGGCTCTCATCGTTTATTCAATCTTCCTTGTAAACCAATTTTGGGTACTCTGGAGTCCACATGTTCTTGTTCACATATTCCAGAATTTGTTCCTGCAAATCACACAAGAAAAGTATGCGTAACACTTTAAGTTTTGATACATTAATGCTGGAGTCACGTAGCAGGAAAATAATGAACTTGGATCACATCTCCAGCACCAGCACCATTAGTGCTCTCATGGGTCAAGATAGTTACTGATAGATTCACATAATCTGACATGATCACAAGAAGCGAGAACAGATCCTTGTACTGAGATACTTGACCATGTTTAAGTGGAGATTATAATACAATGTCGTTGCCAAGGTATTTGATAGAAGTTCTAATACTCCTGAACAATCAAAATTACCTTATTAAGCTTGTGAAGGTCTCGAGCATCCATATTGCGGTAGCCTTCTGCCAGATCCTCTTCTACAGCTTCCATTATAACAGCTGTGGCTACCTCCTTTGTTATATCTCGAATTCTGAAGTTTGTGCATTAGTTTCAAGAAAAGTCCGACATAAACAATCCCTTTAAGCCTAAATACTGAAAAGGAAAGATATATTATACCTAGATATTGATGGGTATATGATTCCATTGACAACCTCTTCTTCACTCATGTATGCAGCCAGACTGTAATTTCAAGTCACCAGCAACAGAAAATCTGTTAGAATTAAGTGCATATAGTAGGCTAGGTAGTACATTCTCTAGTCCTAAATTGTTTATCTCACTCCCAAAACACAGCCTAAGTCTATCCATGTTAAATAGATCACAAAAGAAATATTTATGGGCCTTGAATTAATGTATTGTGCTTCAGTTCACATGGTCTTTAAGAGACAAATTCTGATAATTTGAATGATCAAATCTAACCGGAACTAATGATTTTTGTGTATAGTCAGGAGTTGAAAATTGGAAAACTCATTTAGATACAGTGAATCTGCAACAATCAATTTCCCTTGCATATGTTCTCCTATCACGTTTTCCACAAAAGGACTAAGCATGTAAGGTATCGCGATTGATTGTCAATTTGTCTGAGAGAAAATTTTCTGGTTGCACTACTACATCATTTGTTAATTCAACCGACTGGTCAGCAAATATCTCTATCAAATCCCTAGGAGTTATTTATAGCAATTATATTTGTAACAAACTTGATGCACCCGATTTATGTATACCATCATGAGCAAGAGCATCTGAATAATGTGCGCGTATTAAGCTAGGCAATATGTGCTCTCACATTATATCGTCTATTTCAGTCTTATCCTTAGTCTAAATATCAGTGTAGGCCTATCTACTTTCACTTTCCAAGGTGCTGTCTCTGATTTAGTTTCTAGATCACCAAGAAGTCAATTTTTAACTAGTAATATGATCCCAAACTCTCGTTTATATTTTTCTTTAGATAATCCTTATACTTATATCTAAATACACTAGAATAGACTACAAACTCAATCCAGCTAATAGAAGAAAGTATACGCTCAATACCCCCAAGAACAATGCTATCAGAGATGATTCAAACATACCACTCAGCAGCAGACTGCAGCATGCCATCAGAGATGATCCTAGATCCAGATAAAAGGGTTCCAAGACCAATGCTGAAATAGTAGAAATGGCAATAAAATGTGAATCGTATACCTTAGTACAATCTAAATTAAAAGGTCAATTCTTTTTTTGGAAGAGCCAACCAACCCTGGAAAGAGGTACATGTTGTTTCCCTGGTTGCAGTGACCAATATGACCATTTCCTGCAAAAATAGAGCTACAATTGTTAGACACTTACATAAAGAAGACACTAAAAGATCTATTTTTCACAAGAGAAATATAGGTGGACATGCTTCAAGCTCATAGGAAAAATAAACTGTTATGAAAAGTAAAGAAATAGGAGAGAGAAAGAGGAAAGAGAAAGGAAAAAGAGTAATAGAAAAGGAGAAGAATTAGAGAAGAGTAGAGGATCAAGAGAAACTGAATAATTTTCTAATCACAGTGCAAAACTGAGATACAAAGAATGGCAAATACTTATTTATAAGCAAAAGCCCTAATAGATAAAATATCCTAATATTATCTAAATATTATCTAGATATCCTAATCTATCCAAATCCTACTAATATAATTAAATACTATCTAAATCCTAATAATATTTATTTAAACCCTATTTATATCATATTTAAGTATTTTCTTATTTATAATTATAATTACATAACAATACCCCATTCCCCAAAAGACCCTTGTCCTCAAGGGTCAAGTACATAAAAACTCGTCCTGAACCAGCACCAAAGAGCATCTTGATTAATTTGCCTTTAAACCAAATCTGAGTCAAGCATGTTGTAGAAGAAACAGGAACAAGAAAAATCGAATTAAAATTGATTGATGATAGCAACGAGTTGTGACTCTTTTCTTGAAAGAGAAGGCCCATAAACGCAAACACCATTCTTGTTGGGAGTTGCGTCTTTGATTTTTCCTTTGTTAAGCTTATCAAATATGTCATTAGCATGGGGTACGGTGTTTTTATTATATCTTGAACTGCCAAGTCTTCTGCTCGAGCATCGGAACTTTCTTTTTCACTTCTGTGCGCATACTGAAGATTTTTCTTGATGTTATTATTATACTCAAAAGGCTTTTGAGCTTCGACAAACACATCTTGAGTGGTGGTAATTGATTGCACGTTGAATCCCAGTGACTCTTGTAATTCGATGGACTCTTCGTGGTATGACATATTTGCTTCTTGAACTTCCAAACCTTCTACTTGAGCTGTCAGGCTTTCTTCTTGATCTTCTAAAGCTTTTCTTGCCTTTTCAGCTTCCCAATCTTTTCGCACGTCTGCTACCTCTTGCTTTAAGATGGGTAGAGTTTCACGCCATACCCCACTTATTTCTTCAAGCTGCTGAACCATGTTTTGGATTTGTTCCACCATAGAATTCATTTTTGACATGGCAGCGGCAATAGAATCCACATTTTGAATGATAGTGGCCGAGGAGCGCAAGGCTCTGATACCACTGTTATGAAAAGTAAAGAAATAGGAGAGAGAAAGAGGAAAGAGAAAGGAAAAAGAGTAATAGAAAAAGAGAAGAATTAGAGAAGAGTAGAGGATCAAGAGAAACTGAATAATTTTCTAATCACAGTGCAAAACTGAGATACAAAGAATGGCAAATACTTATTTATAAGCAAAAGCCCTAATAGATAAAATATCCTAATATTATCTAAATATTATCTAGATATCCTAATCTATCCAAATCCTACTAATATAATTAAATACTATCTAAATCCTAATAATATTTATTTAAACCCTATTTATATCATATTTAAGTATTTTCTTATTTATAATTATAATTACATAACATAAACTTATTCAGAATATTTTAAGGCATTGGAAAAGATGATAGAATCAAGGTGTATAAGGAGATTTTACAATTGCAATAAAAGTTTCTATTATTAAATCTGAAGGGAGTGCACTGATTTTGATTATTAGATAGGTTCGAGACCCAAAATAACATCAATTTCAAAGCCCACAAAAGTAGCAACATAAAAATAAAAAGTAACAGAAAAATAAATAAGACAGAACATTGCCGGTGCTTATCCACAAGTATTCACACTACTCACATGAAACAACTTGATTTATATGGTGATTCTATTAATTCTAGAGAGAATTGTGAAATAATTCCTTACATTATTCATGATCAGACTATGCATATATATACGAGATAGGAGCCTATGCATTAATGGCTTATTATGAGGAAATAATATCATATCAAATCCTATACTACTTGCATAATATTTACAAGTTGGAGATGCCAATTTGACCGGATAAGTGATGTCCAAGCGAGTCAAAGTGAGGATCTGCATCACAAAAACACTCTGTCTATATGACCATGATTTTTGTACAGTATACCATGACCTGGCCATCCCTTCAGGTAATGTAATACATGCTCCAAGGCTTCCCACTGTTTGATAGTTGAGATGCCAATTTGACTGGATAAGTGATGTCCAAGCGAGTCACAGTGAGATAGTTTAACTTGCCAATTAATCTCCTGTATCTCTCAGGACTCTCAAATGGTTTGCTCTTCTCAACCTCAAGTTTTCTCTTCTCATCATCAAAGGAATCCTCAAGTGGTATGCTCCTATTAGCATCAAGGAGTGGGTTATGAACTATAGGGAAACTAGTCGGTGCAGCTCCTAGTTTTTCAGTTTTCCTTCAGCAAATCAAGGACGTATTTTCTCTGCGCCAAGAGTATGCCTTTCTTGCTTCTCATGACTTCAATACCAAGAAAGTATTTCAAAGGACCCAGATCCTTCATTTGAAAGTGAGAATTAAGAAAGGACTCGTGGGACGTGATCCCCATACTATTACTACCTGTAATCACAATATCATCTCCATACACAACCAGAAGAATCATGCCAACCTCTGTCCTTTGGTAAAACACGGAATGATCGCACTTGCTTTGGTTCAAGCTAAATTTCTGCACAAACCATACTTTCCACGCTCCCCCTAACCAATGAAACCAGGTGGTTGCTCCATATAAACTTTTTTCATGGAGATCACCATGCAAGAAGGCATTTTTAATATCCAACTAATGTAGGTCCCAACCACAAGTAGCTGCTGTAGAAAGTTTCAGAGTAGTCAATGCAATAGGTCAAAACGTAACCTTTAGCCACAAGACGAGCCTTAAGACAATCAAGTGTTCCATCAGCTGTAGTTTTCGCGTTGAAAACCCACTTACACCCAATGGCCTTTGTTCCTACAAGTAAGTCGACTAAGGTCCATGTGTTAGCCCGGTCAAGGGCCGCCATCTCCTCTTCCATAGCAACACGCCAACCCGAGTAGGCTAAGGCCTCATGAAGAGTTTTAGGCACAGAAATAGTATCTAGGGAAGCAATAAAAAAGCTAGAAACAGGAGAAAGGTGGTTATACGAAACAAAGGATGAAACAGGATGGGCACAAGTACGTTTACCTTTGCGAAGGGCAACAGGCAAGTCAAGTGAGGGATCTAGATCGGGATCTGGAACAGGAGTTGCCTCGGAGTGAGGGTCGGGATTAGGATCAAGGACAATGGTGCTCAACTTAAGATCCGATGGCGAAGCAGACAGGGGGAGATCAAAATCTGGCATGGCGAGAGGAAGTTCCTCCAATTGTTGTGTGTAAACTTGAGCTAGGGGTTGAACAAGAGTTTGAGCAAGTGCTTGGGTTGGCAGGATATTGAAATGACAGAATATACTAGAGAATCATCCTACTCTGTAAGTGGGTAACGATTAAGTGTAGGCAAAAAACATCAGTAACCTTTCTAAACTCGGGAATACCCTAGAAAGACACATTTAAGAGACTTGGGATCTAATTTCAAAAGAGAAGGCCGCATATCCTGGACATAGCAGACACATCAAAAAGTCTTAGGATCGATAGGAAATAGAGGCTTAGAAGGAAAAAGAGTAGTGAAAAGAATGTTACCATCAAGGACAGAGGAAGGCATTCTATTAATGAGAAAGCACATAGTAGAGACCACGTCAATCCAGAAGAGTTTTGGAACCTTCACTAATGGAAGACAACGATGTTTGGCAAACTGACACGATTCACAATCTAAAAACGAAAAATACTGAAACTGAGGATAAAACCTCTTAAAAGAAGAAAAAAACAAATGACCCAAATGACAATGAACTTCAAAAGGAGTATGACTACTGGTACAAGTCACCGCATGAGACACCCGATCATCAAGAAAATAGTGCCTGCCAAATTTATAACCTCTACCAATAATCTGCTTAGTCAAAAGATCCTGTATTAAGTAATGATCAGGAAAAAGTGAGACCTAACAGTGCAATTGACGAGTAAGTTTACTAAAGGAGAGGAGATTAAAAGCAAGGTTAGGGACTTTGAGTACAGATGACAAATGGATTGAAGGTGTAGGTTTAACAGTGCCAGAACCAAAGACATAGGAATAAGAACCAATAGCCATAGCAACAGTAGACGGGTTGGCAAAAGAATTATAAGAGGAGAAGAGATGGCGGTTACCTATCATATGATCAGTAGCACCGGAGTCTATGATCCACTTGGAGGAAGAAGAAACAAGAGTAATAGCATTATTACCTGTTGTAGCAACTCCACTCTCAGGTGGTACGGCAGATTTCAACTAGGCATACTCGGCTATAGAAATCGTAACCTTGTCATCAGCTTGCACAACCACATGTGCAGACTGGTTTCTTTGTTGTTTGTTCTTGTAGAGATATTATAGGAGATATTATAAGATATGTAAATATCCTGTAATTAGTATATAGGATACGATATGATATGATTTCATATCAATGAGCCATTAATACCTAGGCTCCTCTATTGTATATAAATACCCAATCGAAGTATCAATAAAATACATCTTTCATTCTCCAAAAACTACATGGTACCAGAGCCAGCTTACTAGGGTTAAAAGAAACATTTTTTTCTGGCCTCAGCGTCCGTGCACTGTTCACAGCGTCCGTGCATTGTTCACACGCTACCACAGAGGTCCGTTTTCCAGCCCTACAGTGTACACGCGCCGATCAGGGGAGGTCGTAGGGTTCCGATCGGCCAACCACCGGAGTCTCGTCGCCATCCGAGCAGCGCGTGGCCTTCACGCGCCGTCGCCCTGTCCCTGCACTGTTCACGTGCCGTCGCGTTTTGCTGCGTTTTCCGGCGTCGTCTGTCATTTTCCGGCGTCGTCTCCCTGTTTCCGGCGTCGTCTGTTGTTCCTCGACCCATCCCTGCTACTTCTACTTCTTGGGTCCCATT